CCTCGGGCGAGAGGCTGGGGCTGCCCGTGCGGAGCTCGGCAATGGCTCCGCTGCAGGGCACGGCTGGGTCCAGCAGCACAGCTGGTGGTGCCTCTCTTAACACGTGTTAAAAGAAAGGGTAAAACACTGCAGTGACATAGTGAGGGGTGAGGGGAAAGAAGAAAGAGGGAGAAGCAGTGCTGTGAACGCTGAGATCAGTGAAGAAGGAGTGGGGAAAGTGCGCCTGGTGCTGGAGCAGGTATTCCCCTGCAGCGTGTGGAAGTTTCGGAAGAGACCACACCACAGCAGGCATTTGCCTGCAGCCTGTGGAGAGGACCACGTCAGAGCAGATCTTTACACTGCAGCTCACGGAGGAGTCCACACTGGAGCAGTTGGATATTTGCTGAAGGAACTGTGGCCACAGAGAGCCCATGCAGGAGCAGGGTTTCCTGATGGGAACTGCAGCCCCTGGAGGGCCTGTGCTGGACTAGGGGAAAAGCATGAGGAGAAAGAAATGACGGAGAGGAACTGTTATGGACTGACCATAACCCCCCCATTGCCTGTCCCCCTGTGCCACTTGGTGAAAGAGGGTAGGTAGAGGAGTTGGGAATGAAGGTGGGAAATTGAGCCTGAAGAAAGAGCTGGGTAGGAGGAAGGTGGTTTAGTTTTTGTCTTTGTTTCTCACCAAATCTATAATTGGTGATTTAATTTTCCACATATTGAGTATGTTTCGCCTGTGATAGTAACTGGTAAGTGATGTCCCTGTCTTTATCTCAACCCATGAGCTTTTTAATTTTATTTTCTCCCCCTGTTCTGTAAAGGAGGAAGAGTGAGAAAGTGACTGTGTGGGTGTCTGGCAGCTAGTCGAGGCCAACCCACCACAACAATCTAAGCTAAGCTGTGTTTGGCTCCCCTCACCCTGCCCAGTTATTTGTTGTAAAACTTGCTTCTCCTGAATTAACAGTGGGAAATGTAGGAAAGTAATTGAAGACTATATATAAGCATAGAAATCGTCTGAGCCATAATGAGTGCAAAACGAGCAGTTTAGCAACCTGAGAAAAATGTTGAAAAACCTTTAATTTCTGATATGGATTATTCATTGAAAACAGAGCAGATAATTATTGCAAATGAATGATAAAATGTAATTTTTGAAGCACAGAACTGATTTTCAGATTTCAACCAATCGAGAAAAAACACTGTCTTTTTCCAACAGATATATTAACCTTCTCTTTTTTACCATCCTCCACCAAAATCACTAAAAGTAAGGTTCTGTGGATTTGTTTCTTAAAAAGAAGTTAAATTTTCCCAGCTGTTGCTGGGAACAGCCGAGGTGGCACAACTGAAATTGCTCAGGGATATTAGCTGCAGTGGAAGCCAACTGATTAAACTCACTGTAATGGAAACTAATATTGCCAAGTGGTCAAGGACTGAACACTTTACCATAACAGGGTTAGAGAATGACTTTTTCCTCTTTCTAACATGACAGAAATACTAGTTTGTTTTGCTAAGCAGATACATGATACAGAGAACAGTCCTAATTTATAGAGAAATTTTTCTTTCCCTTACTTAGCACAGTTTTTATTGTCCATTCCATTCGTTTGTGTTTTGGTGGACCCATAGGAAATGTTCTGTGAAAATGGGCTTCCAGGAAAAATGTTTCAATCAGTAAGTACATACCTGGAGGATATGCTTAAGAAACAAAGGCTCAGTAGTAAAATGATTTGTTTACTTTCCTAGGTCTCTTGAACTCTTGAGACAATGCCCCTAATTTTTTATTTGTAACTGAAAATATTTCCAATACGTTTTAAAAATTCTTTCATTTTTAGAATTGTTTAAATTTATTAAAAATAGCTTCTACATGAGCAGGATAAAAAAAAAAATCTATAGCGTGCTATTGAAATCTGTAGTACCCAGAGTACAAAGTAATTCTTAGTATGCCATGTATGATTTAAATGTAGTGGTGATTTTCCAGACTGCAAAGATTGGAGGAAGTCTCCTTGATACTAGTAACTCATTCTGACTACTGTTTTAAAATGCAAAGCTTCATTTAGGAATTCTTGCCATGTGTTGTTTACAAAGAAAGTGAGACGTACCTACTGTGAATCAAGCAGAAATAAATGCAAGTCATACTGTGCAATCTAGAAGATACATGTGTACTGCATGTGTTTGCTGCATATACTTGTTGAAGTAAGTCTAGTAAGATGCAATAATTCTTTTTAAGCTACTAAGATAATTTCACAATATTATCTCAATAGCTTAACTGGGTTTTCAAGCCAGGGATGAATTGGTTCTATTGGGTTATAATGCCCATTTAGTCCTTTTTTTTTTTTTTTTTTGTATTCTTGCAAAAGTACTTTGTTTTATAGTCTTTTACTGTACCTAAAGGGATATTTTTAAGTTAAGGTGATTCTAAGGAAAACATGCAGTACCTTTCTCATGTTATAAAGTATGCATTTATTCTGTGTGTGATTATAACTTGATTTTTCTTTTGCTGTGTTAATTTATAATTTGGTCATACTTGATGAATGCATTTTTGTCTATTTTGTTACATGTATTCCAATACATGTTTGTTTTGACCACTATCCTTTCTTGCTGCATTTATTAACATTTAAATAATACGTATGCAAACACTTGAATAAAAGCATGAACATTAGGAATGAAAAATGAAAGGAATGAAAATTAGGCCTTCTTTTGTAAATGAAACTATCTTGTATATATTTTAAAAAACAGACAGTTGCTTCTCAAATTTTTCACTGATTGAATTCTTTCTATTATTTATTTAGGTAACATCTTGGTACAACAAAAACATCAGAGATTATTTTCACAAGCAAAATTTAGGCTTATCTCTACTGGAAAACGAAGAGTTACTTCAAGAGCTTGAAGAAATGGAAGTCAAACTGAAAGTAAGAAATATGATAATTGATTGGTGAAGGAACTTTAAAATGAGTAGCAAAATGTGAACTCAGACATTTAATAAGCACATTAGGAGTAGATACTTGGTGTGTGTACATAAGATGTATATTTATGTATGTATAAATGAGGAATTTTTTCATGTTATTTCTTGTAATGCAGGCCTTCATGTTTCTCAGTGTTTTTCTCATTTGAAACTTTAAAAGCTAGTGATAAGGTGAAAGAAGAGTAACCTTTGATGTTGTTTAGTTGATTTTTCAATTTAGTGATCAAGTTCCAGACTAGTAGTTTACATATTAAATCATGTTGCAAAACATAAAGAAAAGCAATTAGAATATTACCAAAGTTTAATGTTCATAAAAGATAAAAAGCCAGCCACTTCTGCCATCATTCATTGTCACTGAACTATGCACATGGTTGGAACACGTATTTGCCCATTTATTTCTTGGGAATAAAAGTAATTGAAAATCCTATTTTCATTGTGAATATCAGTTTTTGAGAGAATAAATCTATTACCATCACTTATAAAAGCAAGATGGGATTAAAGACAATGTTGATACAAAAGAAAAAAGGATATTTGTGTGATGTAAATTGCGTATGTTTAGAATTTTTTTGTAGATACCTCAATTGTGCTATCATCAGGTAAGTACCGTTGCTGGGTTAGGATCATTCCTTACTGTGTCATTGTCAAGCAATTGTGTTTGGATAACCCAGATGACCAAGCAAGCCCTCTTCATCCAAAACCCATTTCAACAGAAACAAAAGTATTTTTAAAGGCTATTATGTTGATAACAAATAACAGGTTTATGACTATTCACATTTATGTTTCCTTGTAATCTTTGTAGTTAAGTGTCACATGTTCATCTGTTCAATAGTTTACAGTTAACTGCTTCAGGATTGTCATGTAAGCAGAATACAATAATCTTTCTAATGCTCTCTAAGCAGCATGTAAGAAAACATATTTTCTTTGTCTAAGGAAGATGAGTATGAAAAGCTAAATTCTGCTGCAAAGCATGAGTAGACCTTTGGCACAATAAAAGCAGAAGATAAATAGTAAAGGACTAAGCCGTGGGTGTTTCCAGGGAAATAGGGACCCTCTTCTCCCTTTGAGAAAGGTGCCAGCAAGCTTGGTGCCATGTAGACCATCCCGTTATTGAAAACTCCAAAATTGTGATGGTGGCACCAGCCACAGAGCCATGTGTTAATAGACTGGGCGTGTCTTTCTTCTAATGTCACTGCCCACAACTGGAAGGAGAGCGGGAAAAACCTGTGCTCCAGATTCCCTTTACTGACCATCCCAGGGCTCTGAAGTCTCTTTTGATCGCCTTTGGACTATGTGTTGCAGCTTCATCACCACCCACATGGAAAAGTAGTAATGGGTAATAGTCCAAGGGCTGTACCAGGCTAGGAATTTTCCTCCAATGTCTTTAACCTGGTCCTTAGGGAAGCAGCAGAATTCCTTAAGAGGAGGGAGGATATGCATTGGAATATGCATTTTCATTTTGTATAATAATCAATCCTTTTCAAGATTGAGCATCTAGAAACTGACTTACAACGACAATACATTATTACAGTTTTACCTAACAATTCTTCTCGCATATGTTATGTAATAGATCATTTTCTATTACAATATCATCTTACTGAATTGCACTTTTTTTTTTCTTAAGGTCATTTAAAAGTGTTCAGCATTAAAAATTTTTGTTACACGTCCATATGAATTATGATTTAGAACATCTTACCTTTAGTCTTCTGTTGTTCTTACTAGCAGTATATTCTAGCAGAAGGAAATGAAATTCTTGAAGTGGATGAGACTGAACATGTTGGTTCTGCTTATGAAGTGCAAAAACAGTGGTCAGGTTGAGCTGTGTACTGCAAATGTATTTCAGAAAGCTGAGTTATGGGGCTTTGTGCGTTAGTTTTTATAGCACTGAACTGCAAATGTTGAGACCAGAATAAAGGAGGAGCCCAGCATCTTGATTTTAAAATTCAGACAAAGTGTACCAATCAAGTATATATTCCAGTAAATATTTGTGAGATAGCGGAGATTGCTAGTAGATGTCATCACTGCACAAAGTAGTGTTTTACCTGTACGGTTTGAATACACTGAAATACAAAACAACCTAGAAATGAACTTGGCATCTTTGCTCGCAGACTAAGCAAAACCAGGCTTAAAAGATACATCATGTCTGAAAATGAAGTTCTCTAAACCTTCAACTCACAGACCTTCGGCATCTGGTTACTGATCTGGAGTATTATGACCTCGTATGTATTTATGTGTTGTGGAACTGCAGTGCTATTGTGTGAAGTATTCACTCTGAGAAGCTGTTGACTAATTCCATGCAGAAGTTCAGGGATGGCCAGTGAAGATCTAGGCACAATATTAAAAAATAATTGTGCTAGTCTTGGAAACAGAAATATTATTTCCTCTATATTCCCATACATGGGTGCACAAAATTCTCCTAAGACACTTTTCCTTTAAAATTTTCATTTCAGTTGGTCTAAGACATGATACTGTTGTCCAGGGTCACTACTTTCTAGGATGCAGTCTTCATCCCAGTAATGACACAAATTCCTGACATCTGAAATTACAGTTAGGTATTTTGTTCAAATGAGTCTACTTTAAAAAAATGTTATACTCAGTCTCTACAATTGACCTTTTCTAATGATTACGTAGCATTTTTTTGTGCAACTTTTTGTGCAACTAGAAACTTTATTAAGCAATGATTTTATGTTTTCTTCCAAATCACCTGTGAAGTTATTAAATATCATGTGGCAAGAACATGTTTAGGAACAGAATGATTTAAAAAATACAATAAATACAATAGTAGCAATTTATCTAGCTTTCTGTAAAGCAAACATCTATAATTCCCCGAAGATGTTTTCAGGCTGCATTCAGACCAAAATAATGTTGTGACATACAAATCTCTGCTGCATCTGTGTGACTTAATGTGCTTTGCAGACAACAATAGTACCGCTGTAAAATGATACTGAGTATCTTTTAACACAATCTGCTATAAAAACATTCAACACGTTCTGCTTTTTGGAGCTCTAGATTGACATGGATTTTATACATGTGCATGTGGTCACCACACATTTAGGTATTTGCTGGGTGCTTTTGCGGTACAGAGTCATCAGAATTTTTTTTGTTGGACTTTTTTTTTTCATATGAGATTTTTCTGAAAAGACTTGCTTTCTCCCTGAAAACAAAAGTCATTATATAACTTGTAACATGTGACAAAACTGTAAAACACTCATAAAAATATTGCCAGGTTCACATGGAAAATTGGAGGGGAAAAAAACCCATCACAAAATTCCCACTAGACATAGCTATGGTACATTTCCATGTTATTTGGAAAATTTTAGAGTAGAAATTAAGTCCATCTTTTCAAACAGAAAGACAGCTAATTGCATTAGTGCTTCAAAATTCCTTCACCTCTGTTTTATTAGAGAAATTTTTTAATGTGTCTGATTCTTCAAAGTTTTATCAAGATAGAAGCACACGCCACTTTTTACTGTGTATATATTGGAAGCAGTTTCTTTAGCAATAGGGAAAATAAAATATATATTTTTTTCTAGTAACACTAAATCTATAGTCGGAATTACCTTCCCTTCAGGAATCCCTTTAGTGTCCAACTTATGTTCTAATAAAAAGAAGTGAATATTCTACATTAATTTCAGAGTGAAATACGCTTTCCAGAAGTCTTCAGAAATTTTATCTGTTCATACAGTTAATGATTTTATCAGTTTATGTGAGAAAATATGGAAATGGTTATGAAAAACATTTCATTTCAGTTTATGTTCAGGAAGAATCTTACGTGTACCTTACACGATACTTGGCTAATTAATTAATTACATACTTTTTCTGTAGATTGGTCATTGCTTGGAGCATAGCTGATGTCTGCTGTCATTTGTCTAGTTCCCTCGTGACTTAAATTGTTCAGAGACTAGCCTAAGGAAGATTTACAGGATTAACACCTTATTTATGTGACTGGGCTGAGAGAAGAAATGAGAATTGTTTATTACGTTCTCAAGTTGATACGTTATCTTGAACCTCACCTTGCTGGGAGGTGGAAACACTGGAGATTTTATTGTTATCTTGTACAATAATCAAGACCAAAGATAAAACCAAGGATTCATAATTGGAAAAAAAGTCCTCAGCCCTCCCAGACATTAAATGGATACGCATACACACACTCCCCATCAAGATTTCAGAGTAGAGGAGAGGCAGATTTAGGAAATCATGTTTAAATGGGGATACCTCCTGGCACTGATTAACTGCTTGCTCTTACATTTCTGTGTGTATTGGAGGAGCTTGGCAAGGTAAAAAAGAACTGCTAGCACCACTTTGTGGCCGAATAACTATAGAGATGAAGAAAAGCAATATTTGAGATTGTTTGCGTTTTGTTTAATTTTTGCCATTTTTCGTGACTGAACAATGCTGGAATCAGTCCTCCTTTAATAAGGATTAGTAGCAAGATAGAGAGTATGTCTCTGTCCTGTAGGTCTGCATGCTTATTGCGTCTGGCCTAGCCATGCTAGGTAATAACAGGCTCTACTGAGGTTCCGGGATGGTTCTTAATGACCAAAATATATATCATTATCAATTAATAGTGTTAATTGCTATATTTGTTGACATTAATATAAGGATCAAGAATATTGTATTTACCTGCTTTTTTTCCCCAGATGTCACAGCTAATGCTTCGATACCTGGAAAAGTTATTTCACAGTTAAATGTCTGTCTGGAGCTCTCTTCTTTCTCTGGCCTTCCTGGATGGCCATGCTCCTTCACCATTCTCTGCATGGATGAAAACTCAGGCTATCCAGCTGTTGCCAGTTTTTCTGAGACTGGCATTCTATTGAGGAGTTTGACAAGTATTGCATTTCATCTGCTTAGTAGATGTTTTAATGCACTCCTGTATTTTGATAGATAGAAGAAAGCATGTGAAGAAAAACAATTTTTCTTTATAGGCAATTTTGTTTTTACCTAAACATT